AGGTTTTTCTGGAGTCTTGTCTGCGTTCTTAAAGAAAGTATCTACGGAAGTTTGGACAGATGTTCTCCAGGGATATGGGTGACGCAGTGAACTTGTTCACTGGCTTGGCGTGGCATCAGATCAAGAATCGTAAAGTCGAAACTGACATCTGAAAGTCGAGACAGGCTGTCAATTTATAAATGTTGTAAGTGCTGTTCATTGGAACTCAAAACATCTTAAGTCTAGGACTACCTGTAATGACCAAAGGCTGTGGTTCAAATTAGGTATCTGTTGTTTTAAATGCTGCATAAATATAAAAGTACACAAGGTCCCCGTTCCAAAGGACATGCCATCCAGGAAACAAGGCAAGGTTAGGAGTAGGGTACAGTACTCTACTCCTAACCATTACTAATAATGCAGTAAATGATGTTGGTGATGGGTAAAAGATGTCATCTTATGTTTGAATAACTATGGGGAAAGGGCTGGCATAGTGTGACTTAATATGAGGGGAAAAAAAGCAACCAGAAAGATAAAGAAGGAAGATGCAGGATCTAACTGGATTATCAAGACTTGGTTGTGTTGTTCAGAGATCACTCAGACAGAGTCTGAGGTCTGCTTCCATTCACTGTCTTGTGACTGATCAGCTCTGTGCAACATACACTTCTTTTAAAAGCTACATGGTTTAGTCCATTTAAGTGCACAGCCTCCAGACCAAGAAAAGACTATGTACTTACCCAAATTCAGTATAAACCAGTTCCATTAACCACAGAAAAAATCATCTTTTAAGCTTTTCACACGTCATTAATGCTATCACCTTGTTTCTCAGAAACCTTATGCTTCTAACAGCAGCCTTAAAATTGACAGGACCTAAGCAGTTTGGGGTGTTTAAGAAGCCTTGAAATTGAGGGCTCCTCCTACATTTAAAGGGCATACAGTCACATTATGAAGTAGACAGTGGGTGGCAAGAGGAAGCTTAAGCACTTAAAAAGTTATCTTATGCTTTAAACTATTATGCATATGAGCAGTGTTTGCTATCACTTATCACATAAGACAGGGCTGTCAAACTCATCCTGTGCCTCAGGCTAGATCTAGATCCCAGTGCTCTTTGCAAGCCAGATCCACAGGACATGTGGCAGCGGTGGTAGAGGCAGCAGTGTGCAGAACCAGCAGCCATGGGACAAGGAGGATTATGTTAGCACAGCCCTAGCTGATTTTCTGATGCTGAGGGCCATGGCTAATAGAGCCACAGGGCTGCAGATTCTGTCCCACACTGGCCATGGCCCCAACTTCCGTGGGCTACCAGTAGCCCAGCAGTCTAAATGGAGCAGTTTCATGTATCATATGTTTGACACTTGAGATGTTAGCAATTAACAAAATGAAACTGATGTAGCCTTTAGCAGCCTTTAACTACCTGAAGA